GACTCATTTCCCCTGCTAAAAGAATAATTATGAATCTAATGTTTCTCCGTTCTTACCACATGACATTGTTGAAAATAGCATTAAAAATCTTGGACTTCGCATCGCATCTCCTATATCCTATTTAAGAGCAGGCATTCCTGGGGACGAATATTCACATGTATTAAGTTTCAGACGCCAAGTTTACGTATACCCTCCCTCCGAAGATTTTGAATTACAAACATCAGTACTTATTTCCTTCAGAGGGAATGAACACAGAATCTTCCTTTCTACAGATAAAGTACATTGTTTCATCTGTAAACAAACAGGACATATAGCCTTCAACTGTCCAAATCCTCCAACAGACAATACAATCCCAACCGAATATATAAAGACTCAAATCGAAAATAAAGACTCCAACACTGAAACTACACAATCAGACCAAATTACCATAACACAATTATCTCAAAAACAAGGACACTCTGAAATAGAAACCCCTAGTGAACTAACAAGCCCGGAAATTCCTGAGAAAGAAGCTCAACCACTGTTAGATATGCCTCCCCCTCTATCAGCTTCCCCCAAAAAAGGTCCCAAAGCTAAGAAAAAAAAGCACAAACCTGACACTCCAACAGAATTAACCGAAATCACCAAGAGAACAATCCAAGAAGCATACAAACAGAATCCACAAACCTTTAAAATACCCATAGACAATTTCTTTTTCTTCCTTGAAAATAGTTTTGGACATTCTGATCCTTATTCGGAAGCGAAAAAGCTCACGGATGATGTAAAAAGTCTACTTTTGAACCTGCATACTATATATCCAAATCTTTCAGATAGATCCTTAAAAAACCGATTTATCCGGTTAAGTAAAAAGATTAAAAAACAACTACAACTAGAATCCTCTGAAGCCACAAGTTTATCAGACTCAATTTCATCGAGCGAACTAACTGACGATGAGTGCCTTTCCGATCGATCCCAAAGGTCGCAGCACTGAAAAATCCCCCCTTCTAATATTCTTCCCATTCAATTTAATCCAGTGGAATTGTGATGGGTATTACCCCCATCTAGAAAATGTCCAACTGCTTGTTGCTGATACTTCACCCGATTTCATTTGTTTGCAAGAAACCAATTTCTCTAAAAACCATAATCCATACCTTAAAAATTACGTTGGCTACCACTTTATACGAACATCACACGCACGAGCTAGTGGTGGGAGCTCTATATTTATTTCTACAGATATATTCCACCAAGAATTTCACTTAACAACACCTCTAGAAGCCGTTGCCGTTACTGCTTGGTGTCCAAATAAAATAGTAATTTGCAACATATATATTCCCCCCTATTACACCCTAGCAGCTCTCGAAATTACAAACCTTACTAACCAACTCACTGAACCATTTATCTTAGTTGGAGATTTTAATGCACATACCACTATGTGGGGCTCCAGTACTACTTTCGGTAGAGGCAAAATGATTGAAAATATCATAATCAATTCCAACCTTAATTTTCTAAACACTGGAAGCAGCACATACTTTCATATCCAAACAGGTACTCTCTCTTCCATTGATTTAAGCATATGCAATCCAGAATTATCTACTCATCTTACATGGAAAACACTGGAAAGTCTCTATGGCAGTAACCATTTTCCCATTTTAATTTCTAACAATGATAACTCACAAAGACAAAGCAAAACTAAGTGGAAAATTGCTCACGCTGACTGGGATCTATTTAACTTAATGAATTCTGCTGATGAAGATCTTAACATGTTGATTAATTGTATTATAAGTTCCGCCGAAAAATGCATCGGTAAATACCACTTTGATCCCTCCAAAAAATATGTTCCGTGGTGGAATGAGTCGTGTAAACTAGCTGTAAAAGATTGTAAAAAAGCATTAAACCGATATCGTAAAACTAGAAACCAAGCGGACCTAATAAATTTTAGAAAACTAAGAGCTAAATCTAAGCGAACTGTGAAAGAAAGCAAAAAGAACTCATGGAACAAATACATCAGTAGCAGAACTTCCGATACACCTTCTAGTCAAATATGGACTAAAATAAAACAGATGAAAGGTAGATACACAACATACAAAATTCCAGCCCTAATAGAAGATAACAATGTCATAACTGATGACCAACAGATTGTAAACACACTTGCCAAATACTATTTGAATAAAACTAAACATGATAACAACTGTACTGGACCAACAAACATAACAAATAAATGTGTTGTACATAAGAATCCAAATTCCAATGATCATTCTGTTAATCTCCCACTAACAATCGATGAATTAGTCGAAGCTGTTAATTCCCTAAAGAACAGTGCTGCAGGTCCGGATGACATTCCATCGATATTTCTAAAACATCTACATAAAGATACCCTATTAAAGTTACTAGAATTTTACAACAACATATGGCTAGGTAACCAATTCCCATCACTTTGGCGACAAGCTATAACAATTCCACTCAAGAAAAATGACACTTCTGCCAATACAACCATGTCATTTAGACCCATCTCATTAACTTGTACACTTTGCAAACTCCTGGAAAAAATTGTCAACAAACGCTTACTCTGGTATCTTGAAAAATATAATATTATCAATACCGCTCAATCAGGATTTCGTCCAAATCGTTGCACGATGGATAATCTTATCACTCTTCAATCCGATATCACAGAAGCATTCTTTAATAGAAACAACCTTATAACTGTCTCACTCGATATAGAAAGTGCTTTCGACACAGCATCAAGGCCAGTAATCCTAGAAAAACTTAAAGAGTCCAATTTATCTGGAAACATATATCTATTTGTTGAGAATTTTTTAACTAACAGAAGTTTCAAAGTCTCTGCAAATGGTAAAATGTCTCCCTCATATATCCTGGAGACAGGAGTACCTCAAGGATCAGTCCTCAGCACAACCTTATTTTTGCTGCTTCTTAACGACCTTATTTCCTTAGTACAACCCCCTGTCAAACATAATATCTATGCGGATGATCTAGTTATTTACTGTTCGGGTAAAGTAACAAGCTCCACTAGCACTCTTTTGCAAAATACTATTGATAACATCTCTCACTGGTCGAACAAAATTGGTTTCAGCTTCTCGCCTACAAAGTCTAAAGTGATTAACTTTAGCAACAAATATAAACAAACTCTTCCACTCATAAAATTAAACGAGCATCCATACAAGTAGTTGAAAATCACAAATTTTTAGGGGTAATTTTCGACAAAAAATTAACATGGAAGAGACATATAGAAAAAACTAAAGTCAGTGCCTTAAAAAATATAAATCTCTTAAAATCACTAGCCAATCGACAATGGGGAGCTGAAGAAGAAGTCCTATTAAGTTTATACAGAGCCCTAATAAGATCTAATTTAGACTACGGATCTATACTATATATGTCTGCCCCTAAAACTTATTTAAAATCACTAGATACAATTCAAAACACTTCATTAAGAATATGTCTTGGAGCCTTCAGATCTAGCCCTACAGAAAGCATATATGTCGAATCGTGTGAACCCCCTCTAAATATTAGAAGACAACGTCTATTAAATTCCTATTTTGCTAAGGTTTCTGCAAACCCTAATAATATATCTTTCCAACTTATTAAAAATTTTCAAATAACAGGAGCACACAGTAGAGCTACTGCCAATTCATCACTACAGTTTCTATTGCCCCTCTTAGAAAATATTGACCTAAATCTCACCACCCCCATTATTCAGCCCAATACTCCACCTTGGCTAAAAATATTACCTGACTTTAACGTAAATTTGTGCAGATATAAGAAAATGGAAACCCCCACGATACTCATGAAACAAACTTTTAACGACATAATTAATAGAGGCATGTTTGATAACATAATATTCACAGATGCATCTAAAGACGAAGAAAGTGTCGGATGTGCTGTTACTTCCACAAATAACACACTAGCAATGTATAGACTACCCAAGATGACCAGTATATTCACAGCAGAACTCTACGCTATACTTAAAGCTCTAGAAGTTCCAATGCAGGGTACCAAAAACTTAGCAATCTGCACAGATTCATTATCATCCATAAATTAGATTAGAAAAATCTACACATCAAACCCTTTAGTTAATGAGATCCACGAAAGATGTACAGCACTTGCTAAATCAAACACTTCGGTATCGATGATATGGAATCCTTCACATGTTGGTATTAAAGTAAATGAAAATGCTGACCACGCAGCAAATGAAGCACGTCGCTCTGACCTTACAGATGAAAAAGTCCAAATGTTTCAAGACATAATAATTGAAATTAAAAAGTTATTTACCTCAATGTGGCAAAATCATTGGTACAGGTGCACTACCCAACTAAAGTCTATCCAACCAAACATATTAGGACCTAGAATTGTTACAATGGAAAGAAAATCGAAGACCATCATTAGAAGGCTCAGAATTGGGCACACCCGGCTAACCCACGGATATCTGATGGTTCCCGAAGAACCTCCAAACTGCCAATATTGCAACTCCCGTTTAAGTGTACACCATATACTTGTGGAATGCAACCAGTACGCAACAGCACGGATTAAACATGGTATCCACGGAAGTTTATGTGATATTTTAAAATCTAAAAACAATATGTCTAATGTGATAGAGTTCCTTAAAAACTGTAAATTATATCACCTGTTATAATTGTATCATCTATCTATATTTCAATTCAATTTTTTTTATATCATCTGTATTGAAATTTACTGAATCAATGTAACTTTATTGTTATTCTGTAATACAGTTTCTCGTGTCAATGGCCGCAGCAGCCGAGACATGTAATTTGAAATAATAAAAAAAAACTCTTCAACTGTTAACGTTTCGAGCTATAAGTTCAGTTGTGAACATATTTTGTTATTTTAAAGTCTAGCATTCCATAAGTAGAATGTTTACTTACAAAGAGTTTATTCTATAATTTGTGATTTATTCCAAACATGTATTTGAAAAAACTAAATATATTATAAAATGAACTGCTTTAGTCTAATAGATAGATTACTTGACTATTATAAACTATTATACTTACGATGTAACTTCTACATGTAAATTAGGAATACAAACATCGTCAGGACCGCAGTTCTTTTGGATCGTTATAGAATCGGACCGTGAAGGTGGGTTATTCAAATCTAGCACGGCTGTTAATCTGGATCGCGCATCTCTATAACCGTCCCAATAGGCCTCCTCCTGCATCGAAAACTTAACTTCTGCCTCTAACGCTGTAAGCTTATCTTTAAACTCGTTTTTCATGATGATTTCTTCGCGTTTGCAATTTTCTTTGGCGTCTTTGTAAAGTAAGATGCTTTGATTGAATGTGCTTGTTCCTAAATTTTTAAAGGCCATTCGAGGGGAGTTTACTTTTGTATCCAAGATGTACTGAACATCGAGATCTAGAAAACAAATCAATATTACACAATTGTACATACATTCAGGGTAGAAAGGAAAATTAGGAAAAAAAAATTATCAAAATCAAGCTTATGTTTATCTAGTTTTGCCTTATATTTGAGTCGTTTCATAGTTAATCATTTCCCTGCATCAATATGTCTACCTGTCCAATTTAACTCAATGTCTATTAATTATTTTTGTTTTGTTGAAGTTTATTCCCAAACATCTTGTGATGATCGACGTGAAGTTCGACGGCAACACAAAAATAGAAATATTATCGAATACCGTGAAATCAATAAACCCATAAAAAGAAAAATTAAGTAAGCCAAAGAATCCTGGCTTGAGAATTTATGTAAAGAAATAGAAGACCTTCAAAAAAAGCATGACAGTTTCAACCTCCACAAGACACTTAAATATACTGCCGGAATTAGAAAACAGAAAAATGCTCACATACTTAAAAGCGCAGATGGAAAAATTTGTGATCACGAACAACAGTGCAAAGAATGGGAGAGATACATCACTGACCTTTTTGACGATGCTTCTAGAGAAAATGCTCCAAATACTGCCTGTGACAACCAGTTAGACAGAGGTCCCATTATACTGAATTCGGAAGTCAAAAAGGGAATACAGCAAGCCAAAAACAATAAAGCACCTGGACCAGATCAAATCCCTGCTGAGCTACTTAAACTTTTAGATGAGGAAAGCATTGCCTGCTTAACCACTTACTTCAACAAAATTTACAACGAAAGAAAAATACCAGATGATTGGTTAGAGTCACTGTTTATAACATTACCAAAGAAAAGCAGGCCCACCGAATGCAGCAATTTTAGACTAATCAGTTTGATGAGTCACACACTGAAGATACTCTTACGAATTATACAAAACCGAGTATTCCTTCTATGCGAAAGTAGGATGGGTAATAAGCAATTTGAATTTAGAATCGGTCTAGGAACTAGAGAGGCACTATTCTGTATGCGCGTTCTATTACAAAAAGTTGTGAATTCCGAAAGAATGTTTATGTTTGTTTCATCGACTTCGAGAAGGATACACTTTTCGATTGCCTACGGGCAGCAGGACTTGACCACTATGATATAAGACTGCTGAAATACTTATATTACAATCAAGTAGCCTCTATCCAAATTGGAGACAGTCCAACTGAAAAAATATCCATCAAACGTAGAGTACGGCAGGGTTGTGTTTTGTCACCCACTCTTTTTAATCTGTACTCTGAAGAAATCTTTAGGGAGGCTTTGGATGACATACAAGAGGGAGTAAGACTAGGTGGAGAAGTAATCAACAATATTAGATACGCTGACGATACAGCCATTCTTGCAGAAAATTTACAAGATCTCCAAACATTACCAAATCTAGTAGGTGAAGCAAGTTATCGGAGAGGCCTTAAAATCAATATTTCAAAGACAAAGTGGATGGCAGTTGGAAAGATCAATATAGATCAAGGTCTGATTTCTCTTAATGGAGAGGAAATCGAAAGGGTAAATCATTTCAAATACCTTGGCAGCTGGTTAAATGTAAATTGTGACTCTGATGAAGAGATAATAATCAGGATCGGAATATCACGTAAGGCTTTTATGACGTGGAAACCAGTTTTATGCAACAGAAACCTGTCGATAAATATTCGTAAGAAGGTCCTGAAATGTTCTGTGTGGTCCATCCTATTGTATGATTGTGAGATATGGACGTTAAACACCACAATGCTAAACAAGTTAGAAGCATTCGAATTGTGGTGCTATAGATGAATCCTAAAGATATCGTGGGTTTCGCACACTTCCAATGAAGATGTTCTTCAAATGATCAATTCAGAACGTCTGCTCATAAACACCATAAAGAGGAGAAAAACAGAATATTTCGGCCATATAACTAGAGGACCTAAATACCATCTACTTCGGCTTATACTACAAGGAAAAGTGGAAGGAAAGAGATGGATTGGTCGAAAGAAACTTTCATGTCTGCGTAATATTAGACAATGGTGTGGTTCCACAGTAGAAGAATTATTTCGCGCAGCAGCCGACAGAGAAAGGTTTCAGGAAATTGTAAACATGATGACAGCCAACGTCTGAATACGGACACAGCACCCAAAGAAGAAGATCTTGTGATGATGCTTTATTAAGGTATTCCAACATTAGTAACGTTATGAAACTACTTTCTTATGGCATGTCTAATTTAAATATTATGTTCATATGTAATTAAGCCACAATTATTGAATGATTATTACATATAACTATCATTCTCAAAAAAGATTAATATAAAAAAAATTCTGTAATATGTACATTCAAAATTATTTGTTATCCGGTTGTCATTTCAAAATAGACATACTTGGCCCCAATTTTGTAGGCAGCATCATATAAACGGCTGAAAAAAATCTGACGGTGGTGTGTTTACCCTAGGAATATCAAATTCTGATTGTTTTGTGTGCTTTTTTTGTGGTCTATGTTTGTGTAAACTGTATCGCAATTATTGTGATAGTGTAACGTAAATTGTGCAACATAGATTTTTGTTTTGTGTGTTGTGTGTTGCATATGTTTGGTGTATAAGATTGGAGGTGATATTTTTCTACCTTATTTTACTCCGCTATTGTTGATATATTCTAGTTGGCTTCTTCTTTTAGTATTGGCAACCAAAGCCTGCTACGTTTTGCTGATAGGTTTGCTATACATTGTTCTTCTTTAAGTAGGATGAGGACTGCTTCTTTGACTTTTTTCTTTGTCGTGTCTTTTTGTTTCATGATTCTATATGCATCTTTCAATTTTGGTCTGTGTTCGTTGTCCCAGACTTGTCGTTGTCCTGTGTTCGTTGTATCATGTGTTCCTTTTCTGGACGTGCTAGAGACACATAATATGCAACCAAAATCTACAGAAAACCAATCCAAACCAACAGATATTTTCCCCTGTGAATGCAAAAAGTTCTACGTGGGAGAAACTAACTGCAATTTTCTATTTTTTTATTTGTAAAGTTAATGTGTGCAGATTTAGTCTCATTTAATTTTATTCGCCATTTTCTGGTCCAGTTATGTATTTTATTTACTGATAGTTGCAGTTAGTTCTAAATTTACTTCCTTAGATCACATTCAGAAGAGACAACATTAAACCCTGTAATGATTCTCACTAGCCCAATACTGATAGTTTTGGGATGAAATGATTCCATTTGTCGTGAACGTTACTTTATCATAAAATAAAATATTATAGTGAAAGAAACGATTACCAATAAAGTCAAGCCTCGTATCATAATCACAATCTTGAAAGGTGTGAATAAATTTCGGTTTGAATGGATGAATTTTGTTTTGCTTGAATATTTTCTGTAAGTGGCTCTTGTTAAAACCAACTTCCGCTGATCTTTTTTGTTAACTTAACTTTGGACTTTCCCATACCAAATGCACAGCTAGGGCAGTAATTGCATCATCAGTTTTTTTGTCTTAAGCAGATCCTGTCTCACTGTATTTCTTTAACAATTTTTTTAATCCACTCTGTATCACAAGTGCAAATAAGACATTTCTCAACTTGCTTAATAGTTTTAAAATTATTTAACGAAGATGGCAGTTACTTAAGTACCTTCCTTGTAAACGTCGCCGTGTAAACTAGATTATTATTACATTTCAAAATTTTGTGCAAAAATTCATACGGATTTACATAAAATTAACTACAAAATGAAGCAGGGTTTGAAAAGTAATACCATGACCCGTTTCTATTCACGTAAGTTGTATTTAACTCACGCCCTGTTTGGACAAGGTGTTATGTGAGTTAAATATAATTTCATTGACTATTGATATTCTAGACATGGAGCTTGAAATTATAAAAAAATATATTTGAATTTGGCTCTTAATGTGTTAAGGACAGTTGATGACCTAATTAACATATTCATTACCCATTAGTTTGTGTGAGATAGGGTCTTTGGATATCACCAATAATATACTCGTTTACTATAAAATAATATTTAACTCTGGTGAATCTGGAGATCGAACCCTTGTATTATTATAATGTTGGATAATCATATAATGTGTATTGGATTGCTTCCATCAGGAGTTCCATATAATGGAACTCTTAATCTACTTCATGGGGTTGATTAACTCGAACTCACCGGATACTCATAATTTCTTTATTGGTACTCTAAGTATAATAATAGAGAGAGAGTACCCAGTTGACGGATGACAACACTAGTTTCGACTGTTAACTCTTAATTATTATTAATTCCTAACAATCTCCTACCATTATTTTTCGAGGTATTTATCCCACCTGCGTTTGTTTACACATTCCTGTTTTACTAATATAATTTGTACATAATATTAAATAAGCTTTTGATTACATTGCAAATTTTACTAGGTCAGCGCATCGGTAAGCGTGTTCTAGTTACACTGATATTTTCAATGTTATAAACGAACAAACGCATTGAACAATAAGCAATGATTAATATTATTAAAAGGATTTTAAATTTTTAAACTGAATTGGGTTACTTGGATCTGATTTCTGGATGCTTAATTAAATTCCGTTATAGTATTAATGTTATTCGAATAGTGCAAAAGGCTTTAAAGTTTACCCATTTTTTAGAACACGTCCGTCTCGCTCATGCTTTCTCTCATTTTGCCCATGATAGATTATAATTGTTTAGTTAAAAAAATTGTAGTCATATTACATAGTTAAATATGCTTAATATACTCACTAATTTTGTCTGGAATTCCCTTGCCGTAATATTTGATGCAAAAGTCTATGAAGGTACAAGTGCTTTCCTGGCCATTTGGCAACTTACAATTCTTCTGTTTGAGATCTATTTTCTTGTCGACACTGAGAAATTGGACATAGCTGTCGATAAAAACAACGGGTCTGGATCTAAAAACACAAAAAACAAGGTTACACAAACTAAAAAATTAGTTTCCGGATAGAAAATTGTTACCCTTTCCTATATTTTATTTAATTATTTAGAATACTCACAGTATTGTTTTATCTAGATTTTAAAAGAAATTTGTCTGCATATTTCGAGGTGGTAGTGAAGTTACATAACTCCGCACAAAAATAGTCTTTCAAATAACATAAAAAACTGAAATTAGAATATTATCAGAACGATAAATTTTAAAGATATGCAGAGACAGTGAGTGACCTAAGAAATAAAACAAAATTGTATATGACAAATACACTAGCTTCTAGGATTACATTTTTATTCAGTAGATACGTGGACTTATATAAAAATAATTAACAAGAATAAAGGATGTTGAAGGATGAATGCCAAGACACATAAGGTCTGTTCCAGCTCGTCCAGAAACCGTACAATGTACGGTAACGCTTCAGCGCAATAATAAAATGCGTTCCAACTGAAAATGGACCGTTCATCATACCGTTCCTTTGGCGTTTCAACTCAACTTGTGATCGTTTAATATATGGTTTCGGAATTCGGAACCGTCATTTCAGTATGCGTTCTCGTAGATCGCTACATCAAGTATACGACTACAAGAAGACACAGAAAAATTCAGGTTAGGTCGAGGAGTTAGACAAGGAAATAATATTTACAGGATACAGTTTCTATGATACATTCGCTTAAAAGTATGTCTGAAAGAGCAGGATTAAAGATAAACTTTGAGAAAACTAAACTTATGACAAATCTCGTAATGAGTGGAAATTTAACTATTGACTGATAATAATACCATACAACAAACGGACACTTACAAATATCTGTGATACGAGATCAAAATAAGCAGAGACAATCAAACATATCAAATACAGAGGCGAATGGGCCTGACATAGGCAGCATTTTGGCAAATGGCAAATGGCAAATTAAGCCATATTCTAAAAACTCCAATTCCCATGTGTCTTAAGCGAAAGGTTTATAACCAATGTGTTTTGCCTTTACAAACGTATGGAGCAGAGACTTTAACACACACGCAAAAACCTGCAAATAAACTCAGAGTTACACAACGTGTCATGGAACGTGCAATGCTGAAAGTGAGCCTTCGAGACCACATAACAAACCAACAAAATCAGGCAAAGATCAGGAGTTCAAGACGTCATCGAAAGAACCACGAAGCTTAAGAGGAACTGGACAGGGCACTTAGCCAGAACAGAAGATTGACGGGGAACAAGGCGTATTATTGAATGGAGACCCAAAAACTAGAAAAGAAGCCGAGGACGACCACCGACTAGATGGACTGATGATATAGAACGTGTAGCGGGAAACTGGCTACAAGCGACCCAGTGTAGACAACACTGGAAAGAACTGACGGAGGCCCATGTCTAGCAGTGGACGCAATTGGCTGATTGATGATTTTAGTACGTGGGTAAAACCTATTACCGTTTGGACTGACCTGCGCATTAAGCGGTACTAGCAAAAATTCTTATTTTAGTTAAGTTGGTCGTTTTATTTTAGTGTCCAAGTGAGTTTATGTGTTTTAGGACTATTTTTTATAGCACTGTTGTTGAGAACATTACTGTCCAATATCAAATCTTCAGAATTCATATCCGAAATTGGACAGTATAATTTTATCACCCAGTAGACCGAATGAATTTATTTGTTATTAAATACACTCACGTAGTTAATTAGGTTACATTAGATTTGGTCAATTATCAACAATGAAATTTGGACATCAGTCGAAAGTGCTGACGAAAGTTAAACAATTTACATACAACTTAGATACACATGTCATTAGGTCCGCGAATATATTGACCCAATTAAAACTTATATAAAACTAAAATCTCTTGCCTAGAGAAGCATTCAATCAATATTCACTCAACAAACGTGATAGTCTTCAACGCTCAACTGCAACAGTCTCTACTCAAAGTAATCCCGGGTCAACACCCATAGTGTACGTCTCGTCAATAAACTCTGCTACTATTATTTTGTGTTTCCATTACAACTGAACGAACATCTTCACTGAGCCAATGAAGGGGAATTTGTTCAATTACACACAGTAAATTTACAAAAATTTACAATAATAAAACTGGAACTCTTTTGCCTGACTTAACATATATTTTATTATTTTATTATTATTTATTATTATATTATTTTTTGCTTAAATTATATTGTTTCTTCTTTCAATTAAATAATTTATTTCTTTCAATTAAATCACTTATTTTGATTTGTTAAATTTTTCTCTTTCTAATCGTTTATTATAATAACTCACTCTGTCAATTGTATGTTTTTCTAATTTAGATGTTTGTCTTTTTACAGGTGTGTTTGGTGTTGATATGGATTTTTCTATCCAAACATTTCACCAATTTCCTTCTCGCATTCAAAATTTGTTTACGGCCTTTACCTACATAAACATTCATATTCAATAACAAATTGAGCGATTTATTTTAATTATCTACAAATTTCTTTTGGCTTCTTTAAGCCAAAAGACTTAACTGGTATGGACAGCTTCAGAGAATGCCGGAAAATAGATGGCCAAAAAAATAGAAGAATGGACTCCGCCAACTAGAAGAAAACGAGGTAGACCAAGACGATCCTGGAGGTAAACCCTGTGTTATGTTGATATCAATAGTCGCCAAAAAACGATACGTGTCGTACTCTGTCTTCCATTTCAAGGTGTCAATTGTCGTTTTGTATCAACTTATTTGTAGCTGTGGCCTCGCTTCCACTCAACACCTTCAGACGTGTTGTTTTAGAGAGAGACACACGTCGCTTGATAATTGGACGCATTGGTTAGAAAGAGATACAACTAATCGGTAAAAGCGTTCAAAATTTAGGTTAGAGTTAGCGCTTTATTTATATGTAAACATCGTGTCGTATATTGTATAACCGTATCGTATAAATCTTATTTTTTGGTATTTTTCACTTTAATGGAGTTAGGAAATTTCATTTTATTTGCAAATGTCTCAATAATGGCTTCAATTATTTCAAAATTATTGCCCTAGACATTATTTGTTGAGACACTAATTATAAATTTTGCCCTATAGTGTTTTGGTAGCTACCAGTAGCAAGAAATTGGAGGGTATCAAAAAACTTTATTGCAACTGGAACTGCCACAACATTATTATGGATGACCATATTTTGCATGATTCCATTTAATATATCTCTTGCTATATCTTTGGTTAAACGATACAATCCTTTAAACTGAAAATCTGTTAGTTCATTGAAAGGATCACTTTAATCTCTAAGTAAACGCATATTAATGTTAAAGTTTCTTAATACTCTCAACCTCTCCTCATCCTCAAAAGCTAATACGTTCATATTGTTCACAGGCAACATTATCACTCAGTATACCTTACCTACTAAATAAATTACTTTTAAAATAAATTAAATTGCAAAATACTTAGTAATACCAAGACAAAAATGTCACTAAAATTATAAAGTCTAAAATTAAAAATTTTGCATTGCCATTGGATATAATTTTTTAATTAAAAACGTGTAGCCAATAACAATACACTTTTACAGAGAGAATTTTGAATCTGTATATCTACCTTAACTATTGCCAATATTAGAAACACAAATAACAATGAATGTTTTTGGAGTGAACAATAAGATCTCGAAAATATCCGAAGCAAAAGCGACACTGACACAGAGTACCAAAATAATAAGATGTAGTAATGAAAGTCGCAATGAAATATCCGTTTCTACATGTTGCAAGCAACATGACACAGTGTTCCACAGCTGGAGAGACGATGTCGACGATGCAATGACCGCCAGAGTTCTAACAACTGAAGATTGCTTCGACAGAAAACGCTGGAAATTAGGATGCGAGAAGCGGCGCCAGCTGTAGAAGCGTCGCTTGTTATATATATATATATATATATATATATATATATATATATATATACAAATTTCTTTCTAAAGATGAGCAAACAGATGTCTTCTTATGCTCTATAGATTACTAGAAAGCTTTCGATTGTGTTAATCATTCAGAATTAGTAAGATTGCTCCAGGAACGTTCGATAGATGAGAATGACCTTAAAATCATACCTTTCCATGTGACCATCATACCATTCACCTTTATATGAATCTGTGAGAGTAGGACTGGAATCTACATCATAATTCTCAATCGAAAAATTAATAACCAGTCCTTAGATCAGTGTTAAAATCCGTTCCAACACTTTTCCTCTTCGCATCGTAAGCGAACGGCGCAAAGTCGAAGCATGCGCATAAAATCGATGCCAAATATTTTCGTGACCGTACAAAACTGTATGTTGGAACAAATCTATAAAGGCATCAGCGAAAGAAAAATTATGAACAAAATTAAATCTGATAAAATATTATTAACACAGTAATAAATACTCAAAAGGGGCAAAATATTAAAGTATAATTTTTATTATTATTTATTTCAGTTATATTAGGAGGGGATAATAAATAAAAGGTGTATTCTACTAAATCGTGAATTGAGGTATTTTGATATAAATATTTACCTGAAGAAAAATGCAGAGTCCGCGAGGTATGCGCCCACAGCCATATCAGGATACTCGTTATTGTCCAAGTCTAATCCGCCAGTTATTGAGAATCCAAATGTAGATAGAGCGTTTCTAGAACCTGATATATCTGAGGCATAAATGACTTGTCCGTATTTTTTTCTAATGCCATCCTTCGAACCATAGTAAATGTAAACTGCTCCATTACCGTCGGGACCATCATATGGCGCTCCAACACCAAAGTCTAAACAAAAAAGTGACTTAGATTTTGATTAGAGATTCATATATTACTTAATGTTTCTACAGAAACAAACAGGATACTCTAGTAAGATGGATACTGATCAAGTCAACACAATAATAATCGTCTCCATGGATTATTCTAGAAAAGAGAACCAAGTAGGAAACAACAAATAAACCTATATTTATGCCACCAACTTCATTAGGTACTGTTTTGATGAGAACATTGAATGTGTACAATTTTCTAATCAAAGTTGTAATAAATGAAGTAGTTCATATATATGTTAAACTCTACATTTTTTTGGTATAATTTTCAAAAATATTAAGACTATATATGGAAATGTCAATAAAATAAATATTTCAGTTAGTTTTTCTTTCTTTTTGTTAGAATTAGACCATTTTAAAATAATGTATTCAAATACTTTTCCTAGTATAGAATATGTCATCCTAATACCTCTCTTCAAAAAGGGAAACAAACCGTATCCGAAAAATTACAGAGGAATTAATTTATTAAACACAACACTAAAATTAACAACCAAGAAGATAACAAATAAACTGAATGAAATTATAACACTAGTAGAAGAACGGTCCGGAAAATCATGCTTCTTCTTAACGTGCCCTATCAAGTCCCTTGACGTTGGCGATTAACATGGCGAAACTGTCTCTGTCTTGAGCTATTCTAAAGAGTTGCTCAGCTTTCCTTATTTCTGTCCACTCCCTGATATTCTTCAACCAGGAGGCCTGCTTTCTACCAATTCCTCTGCGTCCTTCGATTTTACCCATCATAATAAGTTGAAGAATATTATATCCGTCTCCTCTTACTACGTATCCAAAATAGGCCATCTTTCTACATTTGATGTTATCAAGCAGCTCGCGAGCAGTATTTGCTCTCTCAAGGATTGCCACATTTGTCAGCATAGCCGTCCTTGGAATTTTTAGTATACGTCTGTGCAGCCACATTTGAAAGGCCTCCAGACGGTTAATGGTGGATATATTTAATGTCCATGTTTCGACACCGTATAAGAGGATTGACCAAATGTAGCATTTAACCATGCGCTTTCGAAGTTGAAGTTGCAAGTTATCATTACAGAAGAATGACCTCATTTTTAAAAATGTCGTACGGGCTATCTCGATTCTACATTTTATCTCCTTATCTTAATCTAGTTGTTCAGTAATATGGCAACCAAGATAATTAAAACTGGACACTCTTTGAATTATATGACCATCAACATATAATCGTGGTGCATCTTGATGTGGTAAACGGCTAAACACCATGTGTTTTGTTTTTGAACGCCTTAAATATAAATTAAATAACAGTGGGAATAGTATACAACCCTGTCTGACACCTCTTTGTATTTTACATATTTCTTTTGATTTTCCGTTTATGAAACCTGTCGCTGTTTGACGCCAGTATAACTTTTCTATGAATCGTCTTCTTCACATTTATCTCTGATTCTACTGTGGATGATGCGTAGAAATATTTTCAAAGTGTGGCTCATAGGGCTTATCATTCTATAATCGCTACAGTTTTTCGGACGTTGTTTTTTGGTAGTGTTATGAATTCGGACTTTAACCAATCTTCAGGAATATCACCAATCGAATAAACATCATTGAAAAGCTTGACCAGTACTCCAATGTTCTCCTCATTTATAAGCTTTAACATCTCTGTCGGTATGTTATCAGGGCCAACGGCTTTCTTGTTCTTTACTAACTTTATAGCATGCAGTATTTCTGATTTTAGTATTTCTGGTCCTTCACCTTCAACTAAAGTCTCCAGTTCTTCGAGTCTATTATCATTATACAGTTCACTTATATAATTACACCAGGTTGTTCGAATTTCATGTTCGTCTATTATCATTTTTCCCGACGAATCGGTTATAGTATGTGCAGTTTTCTTATGATAAAGACCAGCTACTTCTCTAACTTTTTTAAACATTAAACGTATCATGTTTTTCATTCAACTCCTCTACTTCCTTGCATTTATCCTCCATCCATTTTTCTTTAGCCACCTTTATTTTTTGTTTAATTAGTTTCTGTTTTTCCTTATATTCTGTCTTGTTACCTTTTAGTTTCCTTCTCTGCTCCATTAATTCCAGGATTTCATCAGTCATCCATTGTTGTTTTTTGTACCTGTGTAACGTTGTTGAATATTTTTCTATTACTTTCAAGGTAAGATCTTTAAATGTGTTCCAGCGTTGAAAATCATGTACCGACGCTATATTCATAATAAGGCACATACAAGAAAAATCTTTAGAATACAACAAACCGGCGTATCTATGTTTCTTAAATTTAAGGCGTTTGACAGGGTCAAATTAAAGGACGTTTTCCACTTATTGTACGTAAGAGAGATATGTCTAGGAATAATCAAAACGATCAAACATATACCAAAATAACACAATAAAGGTAACAGTAGAAAAAGAACTCTCTGACTAATGGAAGCTGGCAATGTTATAAGACAAGATTCCCTGAGCCATGTATTGTTCAACCTGATCATGAATGAAATAATAAAAAAATAAGAATTAAAAAGGATACCAAATGGGAGAAAAACAACTTAAAATAATTTGTTATTGCAAACAATGTAATACTATTCTCTCACAGTGAAGACAACTTACAACGTATGTTTCACCAATTTAATATAACCGCTAGAAAATTTAACATGTTCCTCAAAAAGACAAAATGCGTTGGTTATAACAGCAAATTTACTAATACGTAAAATAGAGCAGAAAGATCAGATAATAGAATAAGTGATGGAGTTTAAATATCTAGGTATTTCTAGCTATCTAGGTATCTATGTCTAGCTACGGAAAGCTGGAAACAGAAGTAGATCAAATGAATAGAGCAAACAGAGCCGAAGGTTGTCTAAGTAAATGAAACAATATGGAGAAATAAAAGTATCGAAAAAAAAAATGAAAAACAGAATTTAAAAAACAGTCATTAGACCAATAATGACATACGCAGCAGAAACACTACCTGGCACAGAGAAGACAACAATAATGATAGAAACAGCAGGGATGAAATTTCTTACAAAAAGTGATAGTAAGACACCATGGGACAGAGCTAGAAGTACATATATACGACGATATATAAGACGTAGGTGCAAGGTGTTAAGGACTGGGTACGAAATATAAGAGTAGAATGGAACTATCATATAAGCCCAATAACAACAAATGTAGTAAAGGCAGCGAGAGATGGTTCCTGTGCCCAGAAAGACGAGCAGTGCGAAGGACAACTTCAGACTGAAAAACAGACATCATGTCTACATAAAAGACGAAGAAGAAGACGAATTTAATATAGTTGTCAGATAAAAATATAAACCTAGATGACATCACAAATTTTTGACATTAAATGGTTAAAGTCCGCTAAGAATCCATTAGAGAAGAATATGTGTACATAGATTGTTAAAACTATACGGAACGACAAAGATATATAATGCCTTAAAATAAATGGAACGAATGAATATTTGACAAAATGGAAGTCATTGAGATCTTGAACGATTGTATCGCTAAATCGCCAAGTCTATAATGACTACGCAAATAAGTTTAGACCCAGCTGCTGATAGATCTAAGGATTTTATAAAAGAGTTCTATAATGACCTGTGAGCCGATTTAGTAACAATTCATAAAAATAAAATCTTAATCATTATAGGAGACTTTAGTTTATTTTATTTATTTTATTGCCAAGGTTGAAAATAAAAGATGTGTTAAGGACATACGATCATTTGACTTGGTTGATAAAATTAAGGGGTAGAAGATGAAGAGTGTTCGCTGTGGAGGAGAACTTGTAATCATTAACATCACCATCATCTTTGGTTCGACAATTCTTTATGTATCCTGGCCTACTCTGTTCTGATCGTAATTTCCGGAGATCTGTTGCCGTCTTCCGATTTTTTACACCCCTAAGTTGGTCTCAACTTTATCCAACCACCTAATTTGTGGTCGGCCTCTGCTTCTTCTTCCTATAGATGTTCATGTAGTTAGCTTTTCATCAATCGTGTTTTCTGGCATTCGTATTATGTGTCTAAGTTGTGTTTTATGAACGTTACGACATCTGGATCATTATAGAGTTGGTATAATTCGAACAAATTTTTTTTGCGCCACCTTGGTTGTTTAGACCTCCAAATATTTTGCGGATTTACATTCGAATACTCCCAAAGCCTCAGCAGTGTTAAAGGTCGTTAGTTTTTCTTCTCCAATTTCTCCAACATCTTCCTTTTTAAGCTCCTTTTTCGCTTTACCTAACCATCTCTTGTTTGGTCCACCTACTCTTCTGTCACCCATCTCTGTATTTATTAACATTTTTGGTATTCTTTTTTTTTCATTCTTTCTAAATGTCCCAACCAACCAATCTTAAGCTTTTACAACTTCTGATATCACAGGCTCTTTAAAAAGACTCGTCTTTTCGGCATTGGTTCATCGAGAGATCGAAGTTGACATAGTTGCCAAAGTATAAAAAATCCTGACTCCATTTTAAATCAAATAGACCACATAATTATTGCAAAAGTATTACCATTTCTTTACAACGACTATTTAAATTCTTACGTCACATTTTTGAAATAAAACGCACTAATTTTGTTCTAAAAGAACAGATTTTATTAAATAGGTAAAAATATAAAACAAGAGGTATTAAAATTCAAAATAATAAAGTACAAAAAGTGTCAACACCGCAACTGTCAAATAAGTGTTACCAATTTATGCCAAAATTTCACCTTCGTTCGATTACAGTTACAGTGTGTTCCGAACAAATGTTCTTTATAAGAACGCTTTATAATACATTTATACAAATTAAATGAAACATATTATTGTATATTTCTTTAAGTTAACATTAATAGACATTTTTAAATATTATTTCTATGCGTATATAATAAAATATGTCTAGTGGCTGTAATGCCAGTGTACTCGGCAAAGTGATTCTAAAAAAGAACACACCTACCACCTAAATATTTCGTGTTGATATCTTGTGACGTCAAGGGCTATAACGCCGATGACGTGCATCGGTATGTAAATTAGATGAAGTGTATTTATTTTTTCTTCGTGTTTAGTTAAGCACCCATGCTTCGCTTGCTTAAAGGACTGTCGGTCTTAAAACTGTTTTGTATATATGTATTTGGCTCGATACATTTTTAGATGTATTAAATTTGTGTAAATTTTCTGCCTTAACGTGTCCTTTTGGTATTCTTGTGTCTAGCTCACAGTCATCTTTTCCGCTTTTTATATATATTATTTTAAGATTATTGGATCTCATAACCCTGCGTAAGACACTGTAAATTTCATGTACATTGATTTCTCTTTATTAATGACTAGGTTGAGTTTGTGTAGGTTCTGCTGAGCTTTGTAATACACTGCATACATCTCTTAATACATATGCAGATCTAGTCAGAATCGCAACATCAATCGTATAATCCAATATCTGATGGCACTTTGTTCTTAAAGTACCTGTTCTATTTAAATTGCTATCTCTTAAATTCTGCTTAAATTTTTTGTAAATGATATAGTTTTATTTTGTTAATAAAAAGCATGTAACTAGTTTTTTTTATAAGTTACAGTTAATATTAGCCATAAACACGTTCGCTTGGTTGCACACTAACTTTCAGCCACTTCCAGTGAAAGCAAAAGTTTGTCCGATGTAGCAAAAATTTATTATTAGATTTCGGGATTGGGTTCAGTAAACAGTGTAGGCATATCTAAGTTCTCTAACTATGTGCCCGAAGTATTCTGTTTTTCTTTTCTTTAAAATGTTCAAGAATAGTCTTGTTATTATCTTCATTTCTGTGAGATATGATTTTGTTGTGTTGTTATGCATCCACTTTAGATTATTTCTTTAATATGAGTTGAGGTAATCTTTGAAAAGCATTGGCGATATTAGACAATCTGGTTGTCTCATATTATACTAATCATATACAAATTGTTTTATTATGTACACACTGGAAAGTTTTTGCTTAAGTGGAGATAACTTTGTACATTTAAAGAAAGTAGTAAACTTACCGTCAAATCCATCCTGATTCAAGTCCCCAAGGGAAGCTACCGAGAGTCCAAATCTCCCTTTGGATTTTATTCCGTCAATAAAATGTGAGGTGTTAAAACTTTCGTATGTATTGCTGCTCTGGTAGAAAACATATACCCTTCCCACATCGTATTTTTCCTCAGTATTGGATTCTGTATGCATTGGCGCCCCTACTATAAGGTCTAACATTTTGTCTCCATTTACATCGGCAGCTGCAAGAGAGTAACCGAAGTAGGAGCCGATTTGTTTGCTTATTGTTATGTTTTTGTAGTTTTTGAGGTCCCAAGTAAAAAGCAGAACCTAAAAAAATAGAAACGTAATACAATGCTATGAACTAATTAGTGAATGTGTTACATTAAAAAAGCAATACATTTGTTTCACTTAAGAGAGGGAGACTCTATCGAAGTTTGAGTTATGCATCCAATTAAATCATTAAAATAAAAACCATATAATAAATTAACTATCCATGTCTATGGAATGAATTTTCGGTTTTGATTTAAGGCAACAAATGTGAGGCATTTGAAATATGCTTAAAAGACGCTGAATTTAAACTTTTAGTTTTAGTTTTTAAAATAAGTAGTTCTAAATACTTTAGATCGTTTATAATGTAAAAGTTTAAATTCAGCGTTTATTACACAGTTTATTATTTACCTTTCCTTTCAATTTGTTTCCTCTAGGCATTCCAACAGCTATTCCTTCATATTCCTGTCCTTGTTTGAAATGTCCTACTACAGTGGAATACCCTATGTACGAATCGTCATCTGGAGCTTTGCCTTCTCTTGTAGAAAACACAGCTGGTCTGCTTTCTAAACTCTGTTGATGGACCGAACCTGTAAGATTTTTATTATATTAGGAAATTGATAGATAAATATTTGACTACCGAATGGTATGTTGCTGTGAGTAACAATGGCCATTGTGAATTATAAGCTGCAGCTTGGATGCTACGTCTCTAAACTATTTCTTCACTAAAGCGTAAGCCTGTGTAAGTTTATTTGACAATGTTATTTGTTTACCATATTTGCAAACAGTAGAAATGTATTTTTTGCTATAATTAAAGGACGAGAAACATAAAAAGCAATAAAAAAATGTTTTAATGAAAATTAATTTCTATGATGAAGCAGACGTTGCCAAAATCTAGTAATCTAGCAATTAGAATATGTGATTCTATGATCTCAACTGCAATATAACTTGTTCGCAAAACCTGGTAATTAAAAATTGTCGAATTGTTTTTGAAATAAAAGATACTACAACATGTACTAATTCACCGGGTTCGACATGTTATGATATACTTGTTAAATGATTAAATACTTTTAATGTATTATTTTAATGAGAAGTAGACATGAACAAATCTAAAAAATTCTACATACAAAATCTATATCGGGTGATAAAGCATCTTTCGTAATTATTTTGCATCACGAGTCATTAGAAACTATTTACAAAATATTGAAATATATATTAAAAGCAACTGTAGAAACGGATCTATAAATTATGCACATAAAAGTAAATTTTACAAGCAATGTTACTTGTTAACATTATGTGAAGTGTGATTGATGTTATTGTAGTGCTTCTACAGGGTGATTGATTAGTGTGAGAAAGCTCAGTAGATCTGTTATAGTAAGAATTACAAAAAAAAGTTATTGACAAAAATTATAGGCAGCTTTAAACTCCATATTTTAAAATTAGTTACAATCTTACAGAGGGTTTCATAAGATACTGGCAGACCAAACTTATGTTTTTTTTTAAAGGAACACCCTGTATTTTATTTTAAATTTGAAATCTGCTTTACTTCCTCATCACAATAATGTAAAGTTTTATTATGTTATACCGGGTATTTAAAAAGTTATAACCAATGTTACATGAAAATCGTATTAAGTTTAACTCCCTGTATAATTAAAAAGGAGTATAGTAACATTGACATATTGCAACCATCGTTTTTTAATAATTGTTAAAAATTATAAAACATATTCGTTTTCATAATACTCTTTAAATCAAATACATGGTAAGTCAAAGTGCAAGTACATTATTTTCTTGTGAGTTGGCCATGCTTGATTTGTCAGAAACTGAGAGTTTGACATTATTGTTTATTAATTCAGTAACGAAATAACGACACAGAAAATAAAACAATTTATTTCAAATAAAATTTATAAAAAATAACCGACGAAAATAAAAAAAAAAAAAATAACAACACATAGAAAAATAAAAAACAAGAGGAATTTTAACTTATCTTACAAAAGTAAGGTGAACAAAATGACCTCCCAAAACATCTATGCATACTTGAAAGCGGTCATTGAAAGAGTTGCTACATTACTAGGCATTTGTAAAGAAATATTTTGAAATGCAATTCGGATTCTATTTTTCATATCATCCCTTGTTGTTGGAGGTATTTTATATACTTCGTTCTTAACGTAACCCCAAAAAAAGAGTCCATTTTATTAAATTCTGGTGACTTTGGGGGCCACCTTACCGGTCCATCCCTTCCGATCCATCTTTCACCAGTCTGATTATTAATAACTGAACTATAACTGAAGTTCACCACGTACTAATTCGTTGTGATGCGCAGGAGCACCGTCATGTAGAAACCACATTTGTTCACGTATATTAAGTGGAACCTCTTCTAATAATATCGGTAACTAATTTACGATAAAATCCCCACACATTTAGAGACCATCTTGTTTGACTACGTGTTACTATGTGGTATGGATTACTTGTTGAATAGTAGTGAAAGTTATATCTATTAGCAGAACCGTTTCGATGGAATGTAGCTTCATCCTCAAATATGACATAATCAAAAAAATCTCTCTGCTCATTAATTTTTTTTAGGGCGCATTTACAAAATACTATTCGTTTCTGAAAATCATTTAATTCTTGTTGTTTTTGAATATGATAAGGGTGCATCTTGTTTTTAGATATAATGTTTTGAACAGAGTAGTAACTAAGTTCTTGTTCATTGGAAATAGTCCTTATACTTGTGTGTGGGTTTTCTGTAACTGCCATCAACACACACATTTCGTTTTCCTCTGTCACACTAGTTTTTGTTCGTTCATGTTTTTCATAATTCACTGAACCAGTGCGGTTAAATCGATCTTTCAATTTTTTAAATGTATCTTGTCTAGGTTGCCGCCTATCTGGAAACTGTTCTTGATAAATTCGAGCTGATAGCAATGAATTTTTATTGTATTCCCCCGAATATCCAGATCATGTCTACCATTTCAACAGTAGTAAAATTCACTATTGCTAATTTAAATTTAATTAATTACTGAATTACTAAATAATAATTGTTGCTTATTTACAGTGTAAATAATGTCAATAATGCCAAACTGTCAGTTTCTGACAAATCAATCATGGCCAACTCACAATAATTATTGGTAAACGTTAGAATATCTACCAAATTAATACCGTAATGGAAAAATAAAAATATCTAGAAAACTGATAACTTTAGGTCTAGGGAGTACTTTACCAAGAAAATAATGTACTTGCACTTTGACTTACCTTGTATTTGATTAAACGAATATTATGAAAACGAACATGTTTTACAATTTTTAACAATAGATCAATTTTACTATACTCTTTTTTAATTATACAGGGAGTTAAACTTAATACGATTTTCAGGTAATATTGGTTATAACTTTTTAAATACCCGGTATAACATAATAAAACTTTACATTATTGTGATGTGGAAGTAAAGCAGATTTCAAATTTAAAATAAAATACAGGGTGTTCTATTAAAAAAAAAACATGAGTTTGGTCTGCCACTATCTTATGGAACACCCTGTAAGATTGTAACTAATTTTAAAATGTGGAGTTTAAAGCTGCCTACAATTTGTGTCAATAACTTTTTTTTGTAATTTTTACTATAACAGATCTACTGAGCTTCCTCACACTAATCAATTACCCTGTATAATTGAGTAAAAATTAAAAATCATAAAAATATTGCATTTAACCAACAAGCATTCGGTCAATCTTATTTAGTCAGTTTGTACATGGGTCATTATCCATGGTAGATATAGAGACGTATCTTCTTCTTCTTTGTGTACTGTGTCCGTATTCAGACGTTACCCGTCATTCTACGTACAACTTCCTGAAATATTTCTATATCGACTGCTGCGTGAAATAAATCTTTTTCTGTAGAATCACACCACTGCCTAATATTATGTACCCATGAAAGTTTCTTTCGACCAATCATTTCTTTCCCTTCACTTTTGCTTATATTATAGGGCGAAGTAGGTGGTATTTAGGTCCTCTAATTATATGACCGAAGAAATCTGCATTTCTTCTCTGTGTGATGTTTATGAGCATAAGGTCTGAATTCATCATTTTAAGAGTTACTTAAGTTTGGAATTATGCGAAACTCATAATATTTTTAGGATCCATCGATAGTACCACAATTTGAATACTTCTAATTTGTTTAGCATTATGGTTTTTAATGTTAAGGCCTCACAATCACATAATTGGATAGACCACACATAACATTTTAGGACCTTCTTGTGAATATGAATCGACAGATTCTACATCTAAGACAGGTACATCGACTAATGTCTGGAGATCTTGTAAAATTTTTGCAAGAAAGGCTGTGTGGTCAGCGTATATTGTTGATTACTTCTCTATCGAGTCTTCTTCTAAATGTGCCTATCTTCTAGAGATGTTGGCGACCACGTTGACCCATCTTATTCTATTTACGGCAGCTCGAAATAGATCAGTTGACGTTAGACCAGTCCATTTCCTAAGTCTCATTACGCATGATGTGGCCGAAGTAAGCCAATTTTCTGATTTTTTATGGTGTTAATAATTTTTTTGTCTTTTCTTAGCCTTTGAAGAATAGTTATGTTACTTGTGTGGTGTATTTATAAGACCCTCAACATACGACGGTAGCACCACGTTTCAAATGCCTCCAATCGTTTTATGGCATCTTCTGTAAGGCTCCAGCTTTCTATTCCAGAGAGGGGGACACTTAAGACAAAACATCTAAGAATTCTTATGCGTATATTGATACCTAAAGATAAGTTGCAGAGAATCTTCCTAAGGCTGTTAAAAGAGCTTCTGGCTTTTTCAATATGAGTTTTTTATTTCGTAGCTGTGATCCCAAGTATCCTTAATATTGCCGCCCAAATAGCATATTTTTTCCACTCTTTCTAACAGTGTATCGTTAATTGTAATTTGGGCGTTTATGACGGTGTTCTTACTAATGATCATTATTTTTGTCTTGTTGCAACTTAGCTTTAGGTCGTACTTGTTACATGCTTCTACAACGTTATCCATCATCCTTCGGAGCCCCTGCACACTAGCTGCCAGTAACACTGAATCGTCTGCATATCTTATGTTGTTTATTAGTTGGCCATTTATACATATATTACAGCAATCCCATCTTCTGATTCGTCCAACGCCTCTCTAAAGATGTTTTCAGAGTATATGTTAAATAATGCCGGTGACAATGTGCAACCCTGTCTAACTCATTTTTCAACTGTGAATATCTCGGACAGTTCATTTTCTAGTCGTACTGTTGCTTTTTGTTGGAGATATGAGTTTGAGATCAGTCTTATATCCTTACCATCAAGTCCTGATGTTTTTAGGATATCGATTAGTTTCTCGTGTGGGACTTTATCTAATGCCTTCTCGAAATTAATGAAACATGCATACACATCGCAGTTGATATACCTGGCTCTCTGTATTAGAACTTGCAAACTAAAAAGTGCTTCTCTCGTTCCGAATCCTGCTCTGAATCCAAATTGAACTTCACTCAGGTGTTCTTCTAATTTGGTGTATATGCTCGAGTGAATGATAGTAAGGAGTACTTTAAGTACATAGCTCATCAAACTAATTAATCTATGACCTT